AGAATTGAGTATGGACACCAGTAATTACATGCAAGTTACAAAAAACTTCCAGCCTTCAGAGAAATCCTATGTTGCTGAAATGTAGGGTTTTTGGGTGTAAAGCAAATATAAGGCACAATTGTCTGGCTACCTTCAAAGAGTCTCATATGTAAATTACTGTTAGATGTCAAAATTCAGGTGAATGCAGCATTGGCTTAGCGATACCTAAAGACACTGTCAGGGTAAAAAAAAAATTAAACCAACATCTACTGGTGTAAGTTGAAAGCTTCTAGAGTTGCAAAGCCTCCAAAACCTTCCTGTGATGGCCACTTCTCTGTCCATACTAACAGACAAAGCTTCAGGGCTTCTGGAACAGGCCCACTCTTCCTATCATCTGCATGTTATCGTTCACTACAAAGGTTGCCCGTCATAGTTATGGGCCAATTCAATTGTGATGGGGGTGGAGCTTTGTGCAAACTCTGACACTACCCAGAAGTGTCAGAATGTCTTCAGACTCCCCTGTGTCAGTAGGGTTTGGGAGGTTATCTCTAATACCTAATAGGTTTCTGCATTTTATACCTGCAGCAGCCCAAATAACAACCGCAATGTTACATATAGTTTTTCGGGTTTATTTACAGGCAAAATTGGAAATTGTTTAGAAGAATTTTTTTTATCCTGTGTCCATGTTGACATTTATTTCTGTTCTTTGTGTAATTATTACTTGATATATTTTGTGCTTTGTTAATTGTTAGAGATTTAGATTCCCTACCAAAAATGAGCTCATGGACTGCTTGGCTCTGAACCATGTACCATATTTCATAAAGTGTTATAGAGCTTTCATCCTTTGGTTAGCATTTTTTATTTAATATAAAGTGATGTGCTTAGGTAGGGCAGAAATTGCAGTTATGGGTGTTTTTTTTTTAAATTTTCCTTTTAGACTTCTAATTTTAGATGCAAATGCAAGTAGTTGACATCTGTGACCTCTTTTGCTCACTTGAGGTACTTGTGTACTGATTTTGTGGTGGCAATTTGGACAGATATGAGTAACACATTAAATAAAATTAATACCAGAAAGTTAAAGGAGAACTATGGGGTTAGGGCTTTTCCCCATAGTTCTCCTAAGGGTAACGGGAGGACACAAACTAGCGTCCTCCCGTCACCCAAAGCTCAGTATATTGCGAGCTACAGCTCGCGGTATACTGAGACGCCGGAACGGATCCCGACAATGCAGTCTGGATCCACCCAGCTGCGTGAGTGACAGCTGGCTCTGCCTATTTAGAGGCAGAGCCAGCTGTACCCGACCCCTCCCCCGTCCGTTCCGCCAGTCAGCGCTGGAGGATTGGAGGGGGGAATCCCTGCAGGGAGCCATGAGTGATGGTCACGGCTCTCTGCAGGGATAGATCGAGAAGTGAGCGATCGACGGTATGTGTTCGCTCACTTCCCGATCTACTGAGCCGACCTGCGACAGTTTCATTGTCACAAGTCGGCTAGAACTATGAGGCTGAGTGAAAATCAATCACCTCATAATTCTCCTTTAAAAAATATATTAAGTATAGTGTTCTATGCACTTTAATTTTCTAGCAATATACAAAATGAACATGTTTTAAGATCATTTTTATAGTCATGTAAAGATTAAATAATACATATGGGTATAATTTTAAGCCTGCAGGTAAAGCTAGGCTTCATTTTCACATTTTTCTTTAATTTTTTTTAAACTGGTGAATTGTAGTGGAAACAAACCTTTTGTTTTAAGGTACTCAATAGTACTTCAATATGGAATCACACTCCCTCCCTGCCTCCTTTCTTCCATCTCTTACTAAAGGATCTGTAGAAATTAGTTAGTCTGAAAGCAAACTACTGCTGTGCTATATACTTAGGAGGTTTATAATGCTTTCCAATACAGATGTCATGGTTACTGTCTGTATCTCGTATGTTTATTTTTTAAACTTTTTTTAAATATATAAAAAAAAAATCACTTTTAAAGCTTGTCAATTGCGTTAGCAGAAACGGTTAATGCTATGAATGCTTATGGTGGTTGACACAGATTAGGGCAATGCACAGATATAATTTGTCAATTTCATTGCAAGAGCGACTGATATTTTTCTGGTGTCACTTTGTAGATATCTGTGTTTTTTTTTTTTGTTGTTTTTCTGAATTAAAGGTATTTTCTTACATGTCATTGTTCTCTTCTTGTTTTCTTTCTAAATGTAGATAGCTAGGCCTCTAACCTATTTACTGTGTTCTTTGGGTCCCCGAGAAACGAAATCATGAAATGCCAGCCTGGCCTGTCTCTGGCATGTTAGCTGTAGAGCTGTTCCCACTTTGCTTTGGCACTGAACCTAGCTTTAAAAAGAAATCAACTGTTCTGCCAATCAGCAAATTGTTCATATTGTTCCCTTGTGCCCAGAACTAGTATTCGACTAGCACTGATAAGTCAAGGTCTTGTTTACATTGTGTGGTAGCTCGAGCAAACCGCATGGTTTGCTGTGTATTAGTATCTATGTATGTTATAGAGAGGAAGAATGAGGAAGTTGTATGATATAATGGGCACATGCTCTCAAATGCTAATTCAGAAAACATGCAACAGCAATATTTGTATACTCGACATATCTTACGCAATGTCGTAAATAGACTCTCAGCTTGAATGTTCTGTGCACTGTTTTTAGATCTTATATTAGGTGTTTGTTTAATACGGGTTGGACAATAAATATGGAATTTAGGAGACAGTCTGGCCAATCCAGGAGCCAGCAGGTTTTTGTTTTAGGAGTCCATTCAATTAGAAAGTTAGGTGCCAGCTGTAATTTTTAAGGCTCATTGGTGACCTGGCTCCTGGCATTTGTCCAGCCCTGGTTTAATAAGATCTTGCCTATTGGCAAACATATGGCAAATGTCTTAGAAATGTGAGGCCAGTTTTTGGGTTTGCTTTTATTGTTGATTTGTAGCTGTATAATCGCATTTGTAGCAAAATGAAGTACTGAATCAACCGTTCATCTGTCAGGGCAAGCTTTCAAGAGTAATTTGGTCAAAAAATTAAATATTCCCCCAATAGTTGCTTAAAATAAAGAAACCGCTTAAGCTGATCGGAAATTTTCGTTGCTGCCAAGAACCCTCTTTCGATTCTAGCTCAAATAGCCCATCATGCACCGACCAATGTTGATTTCGATAATCGTTCGTTAGCAATACTAACTCACCGAATTTCGTCAATCGACGGAGCGGATTTTCGTTTGTGCATGTGCAGTCAGTGTTCTCGTTGCGATTTGTTTTGTACGAAAACGCCAGTAATCCATCGCAGTCTACTGAGACTGACTCAGTCGGGACGGATCCCGACATTACTGTCGAGATCCACCCAGCTGTGTGAGTGACAGCGGGCTCTGCCAATCTAGATGCAGAGTTACTGTACCCGCCCCCTCCCCCGTCCACTCCTCCCAGTCGGGGGGAATCCCTCACAGTCACGGCTCCCTGCAGGGAGATGATTGAGAAGTGAGCGAGCGCTGGTATATGTTCGCTCACTTCCCGATCTATTGAGCCAACGTGTGACAGTTTCATTGTCACACGTCGGCTCGAACTATGATGATGAGTGATTTGATTTTCACTCACTTCATAGTACTCCTTTTAAGTATAGCAGAAAAAAAAGCATAACATACTGCTCGGGGGACAATGGATTCCTATAGTCCTAAAGGTTAGCTAAATAGCTCAACAGTAGCAATTACCTTTCATGTCAAATAGAATTGTTTGTTCAAATGTGTTTTCTCTAATGTTTTAAAGTCCCTATTAACAATAATTTTCCTTTGCTATAGAAATGTATTATTTGGAAACAAATGTGCTATTTTGTGAATAAACACTGTAACGAGGTTATTATTTGATAAAACATTTTGACATGTTCTTAGATGAGTGGCCATGGATAGCCGTCAGTCCAAAGTTTCTGGCAGTCTAAAGGACGGGGGCTAGTTAATAAGGTTAAAGTTCTATATTTTGCTTTTAATTGATACAGAAAAGATTGATTCCAACAGTTTTTTTACCGATTTTTTTAAAAGTTGCTTTGTTTCTATTTGGTTTTTAATAGTATATGTCTAACAATTGCAAACATGTGTAGCAGGAAAGGTTGGTTCAGCAGAATGAACACAGGGTCCTCTTCCTGCATAAAGGGACAGGGTCCTCTCCCTGCATTGAGGAGCTTTGCACACCAGCATACAGTAGCCATCCGATTGAAGTGTGTCCACCCCACAGGAGTGCGCTTTTATCTTTTGTGTTTTCTATTTTTTGGTTCAGCAGAATGGACATTTTGAAAAAATTCTGAATGCCCTGTACTTCTGCTGCGACAGGATTGATGCCAGTTAATGAAAACCTGTGCTGAGAAAATGCTGTAGACTGCCTTTTTTTTGGCTTTATTACATTTAGTCACTGACTTTAAACAAGCATGGGGCATCTAGCATCCACACTTCTGAACTATATACCTGTACCGGGTGAGTAACTCAGAAACTATTTAAGCCTCACGATCAACTGCTAACATAAACGTTAGCAGTGTAGGCCTCCATTTTCAAATTCTGGTGTGTGTGTCTATCTACAAGCTTCTCAAGCCATCTCGGCACCACTGAAACAGCCTACTAATTGTGCATTTGAGTATAAGGAATTTCCAATAGTCTTGAACCTTCATTTATTTTACTTTTGAATGTGTGTGCACAGATAGTTTATTTAAACACTTACCAGTGTTCATTGAAAATGTATGTTCGTGTTAGGGCCTACATCAATGGACTTTATGGCTATGAAAATGCTTCTGAAAGGACATTTGAGCTGCAACTCACCTGCTTCAAGTGGGTTATGTGATCCCATAAACTTGTATGGAAATGCGAAACCCGCCTGACGTGAATAAAGCCCATTGACACAGGTCCTAATAATGCATGAGCACTTGGTCTACATGACCGCACGTTGCGTCAGTGCTATGTTTGGTCTAACATATGGATATTTTGTATGTTCATCCTTATAGCCTGCTATATTTTATATTTCTTTCTATGCTCTTTCAGGTGAAAATAAAATCCCAACGGAGTGGTTGAGTTGTGTCATTTTTGGCAGCCATGGAGTTGGATAAGCCATCAGTTTGGGGGTCTCTGAAACAAAAGACTCGTCCTATATTTCAGAATTTATCAGTCATGCGTACCAAGAGAAGCTCACGTAAAATCTTAGGCATCCAGAAAAGGCACCTTCTTACTGATCGGATGAGCGTCTCTGTGCCTGATATGATGGATATTGGATGTACCATTGAAGAAGAGATGGATTATACAGATTGCACCATTGAATCTACCTCAATTTCAAACAGCCATTCATCTCCAGTAATGTCACACAGCCGACAGAGGGAGTACATTAGACATTCTAAAGAAAGGAGTAGCTGGGTTCACGAAAACAGGGTCCATTTGGAAATTACAGTTACAGAGGCTGATGATCCTAAATGTTCAGATTCAGAAACCAAAGAGGAGGAGCTGAAGGATTATGACAAATATGAAGATAAGAGTATCTTGGATTTGCTGCACAAGGAAGTCATGTCTGACAACTTGAGTGATCGGAAATCAGAGGTAACCGAACACTTTATTTTTTTGTACCAGTGGGAAAAGTTCACTTTCTGACCAAAATGGGAATCCCCTCTTAGACAATTGTCACCAAAATAAGTGTCCTAATTGCATTCTCAAACCAGGAAATGAGGTGGGATCCATTTGACTTGCTGAAGCTTCTGATGGAGATTGTGAAAAGCTCTAGGTGTGCAGTGAAATCAGAGCCCTCTACATCTGTGCAAGTTTCGAGTGTATTCACACCATAGCTTTGCATTAATCACACGGTTCCTTGTGAATAATGCATGCTACCACGAAATGCATATACTGCGTGTCCCAGTACGAGTAGTGTGTTGCCATTCATTTGCATGCACCCCAAGTGCACCTCTGGCCGTAATGCTCCTGACCGTGCCGCAATGCGCAGGACCGCAATGCCTTGTGGTGCGGCTAAAAAAAAAAGTAGTGCATTCACTTTTTTTTTTTTACTGCACCACAACCCAAGGTTTTGTTGCATGTTGTGGCATGGTTGGGTGCATTGCTGACATGATTAGAATGTTTGAGGATGTAGAACTAATGTGAAATGTTTCAGTTTTGCTTTGTAGATTTACATTCTGTAGGTATAATACAGAACATCTTACTTGAAATTGTCAGACTGCATAGCTTGATATTTGCATTTATTCCCCTCATTGAGAATTGAAACAATGGCTTTTAATTAAACTCACCCCCTGTGTTGAAACATTGACAAACAACTTTGCTGATTATCTGTCTCACAGATATTATCAATAGGTAAGGCTCACAGAGTGTACCAGGAAGTTGACAGTTAAGCAATCTGGTGAACAGGATGTGTATTGTTCTTCAGTCATATGCCTTAGGTCTCTTAGGTTTGGCTGTTTGCAAACTATTTGAAAGGGTTCCGAGCAAACTATTAAAATGCAGACTTTGGTCCAACTAAAACCTGACAATAAAGGGCCAGAGCCTAGAGCCAACACATTGCTACTTAGTATAATTTCTGCTTTGTTCCTAGAATTTAAAGATTGACCTTTTCCAGCTACATCATATTCATTGTGAGCGCTGTAGGGAGGTTTGGTAATTGCAGCATAACGTGGAGAGAAGTAATTTTTTTTTATTATTGGCAGGAGCTAGGCATCGATATGTGGATAAAATGGCTTAAACAATTGTGCATCAAATGCACCGTCCTTCACAGCCCACGTTCTTGCAAGTATACGTTGTGAAGGGAACAGGGAGATGCACCGACACTTTTTAAATGAAACTTGAGATTATTTTTTAATCCAATTTAAAGCAGCTGCTTTATGCGTTGCAGCATGATGCGGGGTACTGCATCGCAACATGCTGCGCATAAATGCAGCATGTCTTATTTTTATTCACTGCAGTGGTGTGAACTAAACTAATAGGACATAAGGTAAATTGCCTTATCTAGGAGTTGGGACTGCATTGTGTACAGTACAAGTCTGCCCAGCACAACCCAATGCAGTTGGTGTGAATGGACCCTAACACTTGAGGAAACCTAAAGCCATAGGGGGAAGTGATCAAAACCGACTAACGTTAACCATGTGTTAAAGTACCCACAGAGTAAATGCATTTTAACAAAATATAAGTGACCAGGACTTTACTATTCAGGTCATATGAGAAAATCTGCACTAAATTATGGTCTACTAATGAAGCTCAAAGTAATAACACTTAAGGAAACTGGAGCAAACAAAACCTGGAGCAGTTGCCTATAGTAACCAATAGGGATGTCCAGATACCAAGTACAGTACCTGGTACAAGTACAGATACTTTTCCAGCTCCAAGACTAGAGAAAAATTCAAAAGTAGGAGGTAGCTGTCATTTTTAAGGAGAATACAGAGCTCCTGGGATTTGTACATCTGTTTTAATGTATGATTTTGTTTTTATAAATCTATATAAGTGATGCACCGATAGCATTTTTACAAGTACTGATACTTGCCCAAGTACTCAGATACAAGTACTGATACATTTTTGTTTATGGTCATGTGACAGTTTTTCTAAAACAATACAGACTAATGATTTCAGAACAGTGGTGGAGCGCCAGAGCCAGGTCCCAGCTGCAACCCTGGTAGTTCTCATGAAAATGCCAACTATCGGCACTGGTATCGGAACTACCCTAGTAACCAATCAGCTTCTCTCTTTAGTTTTGCAGATGAAAGATAGAAGCTAATTGGTTGTCATGGGCAACAGCTCCAGATTTCGTCTGCTCCAGTTTCCTTAAGTATTTATTAGACTATAATTTAGGGCAGATTTTCTCATATTACCTGAATAGTAAAGCCCTAGTCACTTATATTTTGTTGAAATGCATTTACTCTGTTGGGACTTTAACACATGGTTACAAATGGTCACAGAAATGGGAATGATTCTAGTACTATCATGTCATGTCACATATCCCTGTGTCACTTCAACTCCGTCACTGCGCTATGTGGCAGAGGAGGATGAAGAAGGAGATATGTGAGGGATATGTGAGGGGTATGAGAGGGGTATGAGCAGTGGCCTGGAGAATAAGGAAGAGTGCCTGTTAGTAATACTTTGGGCCCTGAAGCAGCACAGTGGAGCTTTATATTGGAATGACACCCATGACCCCAATTACAACCACTGCACCAATGTCCACTTCAACCACAGGCTCTGCACCAACATGCACTTTTGTACCTGCTGCCACTGAGCCAATGCAAACTATTGCGCAATGTTTATTTTTCCACCTGCCGGCACTGCATTGATGTTCCCTTTTGCAGTCACGACCACTGCAGTGACATGACCTTCGCTCCTCCTGCCATGACACCGAGGAGCCATAGCGCACCTGCCGTCACTGCACCAAAACACATTTCTGCACCCAGTGTCACTCTACACCGATGCAGACTTCAGCACCTGCCACCAGTGAGCTGACACACTTTTTTACACAATGTTCCCTACTACAACTGCAGTCCCTGCACTGAAGTGCCATTCTGCACCCACTGCCTTTACACCTGCCACCAATACACCAACGCGTCCCTCTGCCACTGCAGCAGTGTGTCATTCTACACTTGCACACCACTGCACTTAATGCATGTCTGTACCTGCTGCCACCACACCAACACACACTTCAAGTCCTTCAGTAATGCACCACCACTGCACCGATGCACACCTGCCACATCTGAGCCAATGCTCCAAACTGCTCCTGCTGGCTCTACACCCACTACCACTGTATTGAGACGCCCTTCTCCACCCACTGCATCACGGCGCACTTGTGTACCCACCAACACTTCACTGTCATGCTTTTCTCTAACCACTAGCAGACAATTCTGTCTCTGCTGCCACTAAGCCAACTTGCACTTATGCACCCACTGCCACTGGGCCAGCACACACATTCACCCTATGCAGCCAACTCGAAAACTTTTGCTAATCTGCCTTTTATGATTTGTAACTTATTGTTTGCTAGGAAATGCATTAAAATGCTCTTTGGTGTAAAATGATGGCCCCCCAGCCCTCACACTGCAATGTTCTATGGTGGTAGAGCTGAATAACGGCCACACACCGTAGCACAAGTTCCTCCACATAGAGTTGTATTTCAGAGAAAGGAATGGGGCATGTCTGACCAGGTCTGTTACATAGAATACTAGATCTAGTTCTGTTTTCTGCTGAACTGCGCAGCACAACTGCTATAACAGGAACGTGGAGGCAAGACTATAAAAATGGAAGAAGTTCTTGGAAAATCAGTTTGGCTACATATCTATTTCTATGAGTTCAGCTAGGATTTAGAGCAGTTCATCTAAGAGACGTATTATGTAGCACTGCAGGCATCTGCAGGTTCTTGCACATAACTTCAGATTGCTGCAGAACCTTTGATCATTTACACGTGTTCACAACTTTTTCAGAGATGTCTGAGCTTTAGCGTGTGCTGCCTTCTTCGCTTTACTTTTGGTTTTAAGGTGTTGGGCAGCCACACTGACCAAAAGCAATGTGTGGGAAGGGAAGCTGAGCCAACATTTGCACAAACAAGTCCGGGGCTCTCAAGGTGCTTGATTAGCAAGCTAAGTATATGTAGGTGTTGGTGCCTACTATATATTTCTATATAGTAGGCACCTACACTGCTCTGTTTCATTAGTTTAAGGGCCCATTCCACCACATCCAGATCATCTCCAGACCAGATTGTTTCCGGACCTAAAATGCATCCAAATGTATCCCTGTGCTATTTCTGGCCTCTGTTCACACCAGTGCAGTCCATTCCAGACCACATAAACGCTCCCCATATGAATGTATGGGATTGTTCATGCCGGCAGTTCAGCGTGGACAAGTCAGCGCGATCAAAAAGCCCTGGTGTGAACGGGGCCTTAGGCTGTGCATTTTGTGCACACGATCACACAGCGCACTGCACTCTAAGTGCGCTGGTACTAAACAATGTGCTATGTGGATTTAGTGCAACACTATGGTGTAAACCAGCCCCAAATCATCCAAAACTAAGCAAGAGGTTTATGTGGACATAGTCAGGGATGCCCTGCATCAGTAGGAATGTAAACTATTTATTGTCTTGCAACTTGAATATAACATGAAATAAGAACCCCAAAGCTGCTTAATCTTCTGAACAAATCAGCTGATCCTGTTCAGCTTGCAAAGTCTTTTGAATGGTGTCATTTGCTATTTACACTCGGCTCAAGCTGAAGAATTGCTGTACAGTGGCTGCAAATAGGGCGATGTTCTTCAAGAGAATGAAAACTTTATTACTGTTATCACTGATATAAAGGGAGGCCATACAAGCTTCCAGGCACCTGCTTTGGTGCGAGTGTGTAATCACTGCAATATTATGGCAGCATGTAAATGTATCTTAATGACTCTTGTATTGTCTTTATTGCGTCCCTGCACATAATTTAAAAAGAAATCATACTAAACCTAACCACAAATACATATAGAGTCTCATTTATATAGCAGCCGTAAAGCATAGTGGTGAGCTCTTGTCACTGGACCTGTCGGTTATGTGTCCAGCCACTTCTCTATGGAAAGGCGTAGATGCCAGCTGCACTCCA